TTAATAATAAACTTTATTATAGCTTAAATATAATAATATTAATATATTAACTAATTAATATTAAGCTATTATAAAAATCTTAAAATATTAAATATAATTATATCTAGAAGATAAAATTATAAATCTTTATTAATATATAATTAATTTAATATATAGTAATAAAAAATTTACTATAAAAGCTACGCTATCTAGATTAATATTTTAATTTTAATTATTATTTTTATTATTATATAAATAACGCGAAGCTATCTCTTATTTAAATATATCTAATTCTTAATTCTAATTATTATTATAAATATCGTTAATCTATTTTAAAATTATTAAATATACTTTTATATATCTTTTATATTTTATTATTTTTTTGATTAGATAGCGATTAAGTTTTAAATTAAAATAAATACTTAAAAGAGAAAAGTTTATAAGTACTTAATTATATAATTTTATTTCTCTTATATTTCTTATAATTATTAAGATAATTAATAATATATAATTATATCTTATAATTATATCTATAATAATTAACTAATTTAATAACTAAATATAAATATATTCTTCTCTTTAATTTAAACGATTTAATTAAGATTATCGCGAGATTTAAATTCTTTTTCTATAATATAACTCGCTTTTTATATATTATATAAAGATAAGATATTTATTTAAATAGAGATTATTAGAGCTAATTATAAAGCGTAATAATAAAAAATTTACTCTTAAATTAATAAATTAAAAAGACTTCTATTATCTTATATAATACTTTAAAAATAAATCTTTAAATATAATAACGCTTTAATAAATTTTAATTAAGTATAATTTAACGAACTAAGCGCTAAAAGAGAAGCTTCGAAATTATAAGATTAATTAATTTTTAATAATAATAAATCTCGCGTAAAGCTTAAGCTATAGCTCGCGTTAATTATATATAATAAATATAATAATAATTAAAAAAATATATTATCTAGTTTTTATTAACGTTTTAATACTATTAAAATAAGAAGTAATATCTATTAAAGTAGAAGATAATATCTATTAAAGCGATAACGATAGCGATTAAAGCGATAATAATATTTAATAAACTCTTTATTTTAATGCTATATCTAATACTCTAGAATAGTATTAGCTTTTTTAAAAAGCTATTAATAATAGATTAAGTATATATAAGTTAAGCTCTTCGCGTAATCTATCTATATATTAGTTTAAAGTTATTAAAAAATAAAAAATAAATATATAACTTAATAACTACGTTATACTTTTAATATTATTATAATAATATTAAATTATTTAAATAGAAGTTTAATATATAAAGAAGATAGTTTAATAATAAGAAGAGTTAATATAAAAAAGAAAGTTTTAAAGAGAAAGAAGAAGAGAAGAAAAGCTTAGATATCTATCGCGTATATTAAATTTTTAAATTACTTTATATTATCTAACTTAAATTAAATATTAATAAAACGCTTTCTCTTTAATTTTAAAGATTTAAATTTAAACGAATTATGTTTATTAAGCGCTATTATCTAATATAATCTTAGCTACTTTTATAATAATTATAATTATTATTATAATTTATATAGATTAAAAGATAAAAGATTTAAAAGAGCGAGTTAGTAAGTAATTATCTTTATCTAATTTAATTAATATTAAACTATTATAATTTATTAAAATTTTTATATATTTTATTCTTACTTTCTTATCTTTAAGTCTTACTATCTTTATAGAAATAATTATTCTTTAAATTAAACTCTATAATAATATATTTAAAATAGCGCGTAATATATATTCTCTTTATTTCTAATATCGATATTTATTAGAATTAACGCACTTTTTAATAAAATAAACTTTAATTAAAATTAAGAATAGCTTAATATTTATAAATATTCATATAAATCCTTTAATTCTTTTATATATATTTATTAATTTATCTTTTTATAATAATTAAAGTAGAAGAGATTAAGTCTAATAATTTATTATAATAAATATTAAATATTAATAATAATAGCGATATTAAAGAGTCTTAATATAGATTAATTAAATAACGATTAAACTCTTAATTAAAATAAAAAATAAAAAATAAGCTTAATTAAAATAAAAATATTAAGAGATCGTAATAGCGAATAAATATATTTATATTTAAGAAGAAATTAATTAAAAAAGTAAAGAAAATTAATATTTTAATTATTAATTATACTATAATTATTAAAAAGTATAAAATTAAATATATTAATATATTATTATTATAATAAAAGTAAGCTTTTAAATAAATTAGATAAGATATAATAGATAAATAATAAGTAATTTCTAATTCTAATTATTATTTTAATAGACTTATATTTTAATAGTATTATATAAGAAAAATACGCGAGCGTAATTATAAAGAAGTCTAGAGTTTCGCTTATTACGCGAATTATTATATATATAAATAAAGATAAAAGCTCGAATTAAAAGAAAATAAATAATATCGAAGTTAAATAAGATATAAATATTAAGAATAATCTTATTATACGCGCTAATAATTAAGTAGATTTTATCTTTTAAGCTACTTAAGAGTATAATATAGAATTTAATAATAAGCGCTATTATAGCTTAGATATAATAATATTAATATATTAATTAATAAATATCGAGCTATTATAAAAATCTTAAAATATTAAATATAATTATATTTAGAAGATAAAATTATAAATCTTTATTTATATATAATTAATCTAACGTATAATAATAAAAAGCTTATTATAAAAGCTATATTATCTAAATTAATATTTTAATCTTAGTTACTATTATCGCTATTATATAAGTAATATAAAACTATCTTTTATTTAAATATATCTAATTTTTAATTTTAATTATTATTATAAGTATTATTAATTTATTCTAGAATTATTAAATATACTTTTATATACTTTCTATATTTAATCTTTTTTTTATATATCGCGAGAAGATAGCTTAAAGAAATATAGCTTATTATATTAAGCTATAATACTTTTAAGAGAATATTAAGAAATATATTAATTTTTCTAAATTAACGATTTAATAAGAAGATTATAATTATAATATATATAATTTTATATTAGATAGCGATATCGAAAATATATAATAGATATATAAAATTATTATCGACGACTTTAATTACGAAATATTAGCGGATTTTATATAATTAATATTAGAGAAAAATAAGCTTTTCTTATTATTAGTAGATATAGCTCGCTTTCTTTTATATATATAAAGTAATAAAATATAATTATATTTAATTCTATATCTTATTAATTTAACGTAGTTATTAATTAGAATAATAATTAAAATATCTACTTCTAAATATAGAAATTTTAATTGAGATATCTTATATATATATCTATATTATAATATAATATTATAGATATACTATATTATAGAATATTCTATTAAAATCTTATATTATATTAGATATAAGATAATATAAATCTTAATAATCTATATTATATTAGAGTATAATATAATAAATTAATATTCTATATTATATTATATCTTTTCGATTAATAGACTTTATCTATATCTAACTCTTTTTATTAATTCTATTAATTTAATAACTTGAAAATTTTTAATAACTTTAAAAATTTTACGTAATATACTCTAATATACTCTAAGTACTATTCTATATATATATAATATTAATATATATTATTATTAATATACGTATTATTATACGCTATATTAGAGTATTACTTACGCGACTAATTTTATTAAATCGTTTAATTTCGTAGTTAAATTTAAGTTAACGTTAATACTTATTATTATAAAATCTTATTATCGTAACGTTAATTATTAGAACTTTTTTTTTTATATATATTACTATTAAATTAATAGAACTAATAGAAAAGATTAAGATAGTTATTAAATCGGCGGAATTTAGATAGATTCTAATTAGATTTACTAATTCGATAGATTTTATAATTTCCGCGACACACGCGCGATTAGCAATTTCAAATTTTATAGAAACTTTTCAGATTTATAGATATAGTCCCTTTATAAATTATTAATAATTAAGTTATTTTCTTATAATATACTTCTTTAGCTAAGATTTAATTTAATTTCTTTTATATATAATAAGTACGTTATATAGACGAAGCTCTAATTTCTCTCGTAAATCACGTACGATATTATTAGTGTCTTTAATGCTTTCGTATTCGGCGTATATTATAAAGTCTCTATAGAATTTAAGAAAGGGCTAACTCCCTTGGCTCATTCTACTATAGATACGCTGATGCGTCTATCGAATAATGTTAGCAACTCAGCTAAAAAGCTGGTTCCGGGGGTGTCTGCGCTTGACAGCTAGACACCCCTATTTGAACCTAAATACCTGGCCGTAGGGCCTCTGTAGGGCCCTATAGGGCTGTCGCAGGGCCCCCGTAGGGGCTACTTCTAACAATGCCTCCCCCTCTAGGGGGCTCGTCCTCGAGCTCCGAAGACAGTGCAAAAATCGCAATGTCCCGGGGACTCTTCCCCGAAAGATCCACGATTTAAAGGACAACATGCCCTGTGCTACGGGGTTTACTCCCCCGAAGACTTCTAAATGCCCGCTCATTTGCGGGGCTTGAAATTACCTCTGGGGCCTTTGCCCACAGGGCTACCAAGTGAAAGGCCTTTGGCCCGCCTTCACGTCGGTGCAATGTGGGAATGGGGCTGTATTCCGGGCCTGTGACCCCGCCTTAGCGCACACAAATCAAACTCAGGCCTGTTTTGGCCAGCCTCGGGGTTTCTTTCCCGGGCGTCTGCTACTGGGGCTTTTTGGCCCTGAGGCGTTCTGGCGACGGACCCAAGCTTCACCCCTTCTCCAAGAGAGCAGTCGATATTCAATTCGTTCGCCTTCTTAGCGACAACGAGCAGGATGGGCAGTCGCATGTCTTTGAGGTCATTATAGACGGTATGCGTTATGCTTTGAAAGTGGTAGATGCAATATCTTGCTCCTGTCCGGGCCAGGCTGATGCCACCAACAGTTCAAATTCTATGATGTGGACTCTGCTACATTCAGCATGAGCAAAAAAGAACTAGAGAAAATACCGATCGAGACCATTCGCTTGCAGACCGATCCTTTCTACAATGAATGTCGTGCTTATGGCAGACTTATAGAATGCGATGTCAACGGAAAGGTCGCTGTGCGCTGTCACGGCCATATAGCTATTCCAGCTACAAGAGAGGAAGAGCTAAATCGACGCTTTGAAGTCTATGCATGGGACCGTCCCGAGGACGACTCAGAACTGTCAGTATCTAAGAGACAGCCATTTCGCGCAATCGTCAAGGATCTCATAGAAGATGACCGTCCACTCAACGAAAAGAAACTGATCAGGATGCGGAAGGATTTGCTCAAGATGCATAAATTTGGCGTGTATCCACAAGACGTGCAAGAACGAAATTACGGGGGTGGACTGCTTCTAGATTTCAGCATCGCTATCACAAAGCCTCATTGGGTCTTCGAGACGAAGAGGTCATGGTGGATTAGAATCATGATTAACAATGACATGAATATGTTGCAGGAGATGATCCTAGAGTCTGGGGTAAAGACATGGCAACGTGCGGTGAGGAATAGGGAATACTGTATGAAATTGCGAGGATGTCCTGACGGCAAAGAAAGGGAACGTAGAAACCGCAAATATGTCTCGAGATAGGGAGAGCAGCGTTCGACATATGGGACAAAGTCGAACTTGCCATAGAGGTACTGCGCGGAGACTAGAGCTTGCCAACTCCTTTAAACCGTTTTCGCGCCTGTCACCCCAGATTGCTTCGAAACGGACTAATGCTATCCTGCCAGATTTACCTCATAGGTCGCATTACGAAGTTTACGATGTATCCGATAACCTCCCACATGTAACAAATCCATTTTTTCCTACTACCATCTCCACCACCAACCCACTCCCACCATATAATCTACTATGAATGGCTTGTATCTAGTCTAGAGACTACATAGCAACTACCCTATCATGAAATCGCTTTACATAGTGCCCTTTGCGACATAAGAAGACTTTATATACACTGCACCCCCCCTTAGTCCTTGGGGAAATACCACTATTACCACTAATCTCTCTACCAAAACCTCTTCCCTTAATGTCTATACGACATTGAACGCACGTACGACTACCCTTCAAGTCCTGCCAGTCATGATTACCTCGTAAATGCCTTGGTAGTACGGTAACAGGGGGTGGAGGTAGACGTTTCCGAGCGGAGAAGTCTTCTTCTTTCAACAATGCCACAACCACTTGCTCCAGAAACTTCTAATGCTCTTGACGCTCCCGTCCTATTGGTTCACAAAGACGGTAAGCATTAACGAGACTTGTATCTAAGTGCCAGTTGAATAGAGGGGTGCTTCTAAACCTCAGCCAACGCTAGTATACAGTACCGGAGAGCCATTAGGTCGACCCAGCCACATTCCCCTAATTAGTAAGAGATTGCAGTAGTAAATAGGGGATACGTCCTGGTTGATCTTACCGTCTTCCCCATACCTCGCTGTCGCACCCTCCCACCCTCCCACACCTCGCTATCGTTAAATCTTCGCGTATATTATTTTTAATAGTCTTAATGTCGTACCCCCGCCTCGTGCGTTAGCCCCCACAGTATGGGGGCTTTGAGGATATCTAGGCGAGTGAAGTAAGCCTACCTATTCTGACGCGTTTAGGTCATCATCGCCCCCCTCGAAGCCCTCTACCTCCCCCTTCTCTTATAAATATAAGACGTCTACCTCCTTAGATGAGTGAAAAGAATATCTCCGAAAGGATAGTAAGCGTAGTAAGCCCGCCTTAGTAATACCCTCGGAGCTGGTGTTAATAATGCTAAAGTTATTCTTTTATATTCCAGAGACGCGTTAAGCTACTTTCTCGTTAAGTATATCTATTTACTAAATATCTATAATAAACCTAACGATCCTAGTAAGTATATACTGAATATTCGCGAGGTACTCGATAAGATTAAGACGAAGTTCTACGAATTGAAAGCGGGTATTATGGACTGGGAGGATAACGTGAGGGAGCGAGTTTCCGCTTAGTAAGTGGCTATGTTACGTCAAATGATGGGCCCTATTCGATAGTAGGGTGTCTAAGAGACTCTAAAGGAGCTCGCTAATGATGGGTATAATATAGTCAGATTAGAGGTGCCTTCGAGGTGGTATCGTATAGAAGATGCGGAGTAGATAGCCCCTAATGGAACCCCCAATGGAACTCTTAATGAAACCCCTCCCTCTATAGCGATAGCGAGGTGTCTCTGAACCCCCCATAGTAGACTGCTAACTCCGCTATATCCCTTATATAAATTCCGCCCTGAGCGGCAGCAACGTCTACGGGCCTTGATGGCTATCTAGAAGTCTTCTCTACCTTATAGGAGGCGACAGCGAGGTCTTTCGAAACCTCCATAGTAGGCCGCTAACTCCGCTACATCCCTCATACAAATTCCGCCCTAACAGGTAGCAATGCAGGCGGAGTGCTGAAAGCCTTCCCCGCCCTATTCCCCGCCCTATTCCCCGCCTCATTCCCCGCCCCATTGCAAGTGACAGCGAGGTCGCTGACGACGACAACGATGTCTCGGCGACGTCGCGCTTTATTTTAATGTAACGCCTATATAAATATAGCGTAACCACCTTAAAACTATGCTAACGGTATTTTATTTAGCATTAGCTAAGGTATAGAAGTATTCGAATAATAGAGATATTTAATTTCGATTATTAGTTCGCTAAGATATATATATAGTTACTAAAGTATTAAATCGATTAATCTCCTCTATATACTTATTATAATAGTAGAAAATCTTAGAAATATTAAATATCTTCTTCTTAATATTCTTTTTATCTTCTTTAAAAACTAATAGAATAATATAAATATTAATACTTATCTTACTAGAATATTTTCTCTTTTTAGAGATAATATTATTAATCTCTCGAATATTATATATAATAATAAGCTTTAATATAAACTTATTATCTTACTAGATTATATATAAGACGTTATTCTAAATTACTATAATAAATACTTCGTAGAAAATATTCTTTATAAAGATCTTCTTTATCTCTATAAATAACTCTAGAAGATTTATTCGATTATACTTTATAGTTTTATATATCGTAATTTCTCTAGCTTTTAAAACTATAGTTAACTTTAATTTCGTAAAGTAATTATTTATAAAGAGAATAATATTTAAGAGGAGTATTTCGATAATTAGTTTAAATATTATTATTAATATTTCTTTAAGATTCTTAACTTTTAACTTACTCTCTAGATCTTACTTAGAGAAATATTAAGTATAGCTATAAAGATACCCTTATTTTTTATTATAAATAGCTTATATTTCTTTAAAATTAGCTTATCTAAAGTCTAAATGAAATAAAATATACGCTCTATCTCTTATACTATACTTTTATTAATTACTATATAAGAAAAAAAAGTTCGAAAAGTCTTCTAATTCTTTCGAATCTCGTCTATAAATAATATAAGCTTCTTATATTATATAAACTACTTTTATCTACTCTAATTAATAATAAAAGAGTTCTCTTCGTAGAGGTCGAAGTAATGAACATCTGCAAATCTGAAAAGTTTCTACAAAATTTGAAATTGCTAATCGCGCGTATATCGCGGAAATTATAAAATCCGCCGAATTAGTAAATCTAATTAGAATTCGTCTAAATTCCGTCGATTTAGTAAATCTAATTAGAATTTATCTAAATTCCGCCGATTTAATAACTATCTTAATCTTTTTCGCTAATTCTATTAGTTTAATAGTAATACGTATAAAAAAAGAAAAGTTCTAATAATCGACGTTACGATAATAAGATTCTACGATAATAAGTATTAACGCTAACTTAAATTTAATTACGAAATTAAATAATTTAATAAAATTAATCGCGTAGATAATACTCTAATATAGCGTATAATAATACGTATATTAATAATAATATATATTAATATCATATATATATAGAATAGTACTTAGAGTATATTAGAGTATATTACGCAAAAATTTTAAAGTTATTAAAAATTTTTAAAGTTGCTAAACTAATAGAACTGGCGAAAAAAGTTAGAATAATTACTAAATCGATAAAAAGGGTTAGATATAGATAAAGTCTGCTAAATAGACTAAATCGTACTAAATCGTGCTTATAATGCGGACCCGGCGGAAATCGTGCGGAAAGGAACTTTTCAGATTTGCAGATGAATGTATTTTTTAAGTAGATAATAGCGATTTCGAGATATCTTTCTAATAAGAATAAAAGCTATCGAAGTAATTTTATTAATTTTTTAATAGTTATATATAATAAAAAAGTGAAAAATTCTCATATATATAATAATAGCGATAAAGATTTTAAGCTTTAAAACGTTTATAAGCTTTTAATTAGAATCTAAATTCTTTTATATAGAGATATATAAATTAATATTTTTATAGAGTTCTTTTTAAATAGTATTAATTTATATAAGATAAAATATTAGATATAAATATATTTTTATATTATTAGAAAGATAATTAATAGTCGAATAATAGTTAATTATTAATAATTAATACTCTAGAAGTAATAAAATACGCTCGAGTAAATTATTACGTTAATCTAAGTATTTCTTTCTAGCCTCGATCTAAATAGCTCGTTTCTAACGCTTTAAGACTTTATCTAATTTATTCTAATTAGATATAGATAGAGTAGTAATTTTAGATATATTAAACTATAATTAATTAAATAATAAAGAAAAAAAGAAAAAAGACGCGTTATGAATATTCGAAGTATTCTCGATAGATTTATTATATTAGCTTCGAAAGATTATCGAATAATATTAGATCTCGACTACTACTACGTTATCTCTTATACTAGATAGATTTAGCAATAATTTAATAAAATAATTTAAAGCGGGAATAGTCTTATAGCTCTACGACTTTACTTAATAAGATAAGAAAGTAAATTATCTTAAAGAATATTATACGTAATTATCTAATAAATAGATTTTAAAAGATTTCGAAAAATTATATCTCGAAAAATTCTCTCTTAATTTAAGAATCTATTAACTGTTAGATCTAATGCGTTATGAATCTTAACGCTACTTACGTTAAGGCGTCGATATCGTATATTCTACGTTAGAGTTTCTTTTAGAATTTAATTTTAATAATATATCTTATATACTTAGAGGCTTAGCGAATATAGATCTACTTTATATACCTCGAAGTTTTAATATTTCTTAGAGATTAGTTCTACTATTAAATATATTATTAAACTCTATAACGATATTACGTCTTTTATAGTTTATATCTATTAATTAACTATTAATAAACTACGCTCTTATAATTCTAATCTCTCTATCTTTTAAAGAAAAAAATCTATTATTATTACGATATTAAATTTACCTCTAAATTATATAGTAGAAAATAAAGATAATATTAGAAGTCGCTATAGCGTCGATAATAAGTTTAAGAATTTTTTATTAATAAAAGATCTTACTATAGAATAATATCTTATAATTATTAAAGTCGAAAATCGTTATCTAGAATAAGAATAAGAATTAATTACGTTAAAGATTCGTAATCGCGAGCTTTATAACGTTAGTTTACTATCTATAACTAGCGAAAGTCTATTTATATCGATTATTATCGCGCCTTTAGCGAATATATTAATTAAAGCGAAAATACTTCGCTTTAAAAGAATATA